AAACTTTCGCTCGTGTCACTCTAATAAACTGTGAGACAAATTTAATCAATGATAACGTTGTTTCATAAAAATCAACTAATTAATTCCGATCGATTACAAATTTATGATCTTTCAAAAAAAAAAAAAAGAAAATGTCGCATTTTATTTCACGGATCGTAACTAGAAATAAAAAATAAAATGTGAAATTAAATGAAGATCTCTTTTTTAACAGCAGACGTTACATTGTTTCATGCAGTATGCAACATGTTACATGAATACATTCATACATACATACATATGTAATAATATCGTGTGAGAGCTTTGATGCCAATATTGTTACATTGTTCGAATTCAACTGAACGACCGCCGATCAAAAATAAATGCCCGTAACACTGGCACCACACGATGACGACGACGACATATTGGAGTTCGGTGTACACACAACAAACGTGAAACACACGACGGCTATTTAAAAGGCGCGTATTGCTCTCTTTTGAAGAATTATTGTCTTTTTATCTTTTTATTTGCCCCTTTTTTTTTTACAGAGTCCTATAAGCCGTTATGTAATCGACAAAACGTGAAAAAGATAAGTATGTAAGCCTTTTATTTTTTTATTTTCAATAGTAAATTTTTATATGAGAGATTAATCCAAAGTTCCTAGACGATAACTTTTGACCTATGAATTATAAATTAATAATCATAATAATAATAATAATACTTTTATGATTTATTTTTTTTTTTTTGAAGTATGTGTTTCTTTTATTTTTTTTAGGTTAATTTACGAGAAAAAAAGAAAATTAAGGCCGATATCTATCAGGATTTTCAACATAATTTGAAAACTGCCAAGTAATCTGTATAAATTCTATATCTAACCTCTAATTTATTTTCTATGAAAGAGATTTAAAAATGACGAATAATTTATTGTATAATTTAATTAATAGTTGCATATATTAAAATAAAAACAAAAATATAAAAGAAAAGAATAGAAAATGAATTTAAATGATTTGTGTATTGACTTATTTTTAACTAACTTCACAAGAGTACGAGTATCGATAATGACTGGCTTAAAAATTATGCATGTTAATATAAACGGCAGGTATCGTTCTCATGCAAATGTGACATAAGTCAAAGCGCCAGTTCTCCCTCTCCCAACCAACCTTTTTCTTTCTTTTCCTCTAACTAACTTTCAACGAAGAGTAAAACGTTTTAAGATCAATGAACTTGTAAAGATCTTCCAAAATTTCTTATCCTAGACTTCCATATTGAATATAAAAATACAGCACATATAATAATAATTTACTTATATTTTTCTTGTTCTCTGATTATGCATCTGACACTACCAGAATTTAATCCCTACGTATTTAACACTAGATATACCAAACCAGTCATTTTGACTAGTCCGGGCCATTTTAATTCAAAATTTCTACATCATGTAACATTTGATTTCTGTAATTAATTAAACGTTTTGTTATTTAAAAATGTCTATAAATCCATTTATCTATTAAAATTATTATTATTAAACATTTTGTGTTATTTTTTAAGAGTAAATGAAGACTGGAAGCCTCAAAAAGCATTTTTTTTCTATACACCAGTCATTTTAACTAGTGTGGTAGAAATAGGTATACTGAAAATGGTAGTATATCTAGTGTTAAAAGCTTCCAATTAATTTGTGAATTCCATTACTAATCTTTAATTTATTTTCTACATAAACAACAAATAAAATAAACTCGAAAGATGGAAAAATGTACATTCATATATATATGTACAAGTTTATGTATACATTACGTGTGCATGTACGAAGTATATACGTGTAATATATATACATAATTTAATAACAGCACGTTAATTGAATCTAACGTCTAAGCTATGTATGTACTTTCGCATTATACATGTATGTAATAAGTATATATGTACGATAATGGACACTGGGAATATAGTATATATATATATTATTTACGTGAGATACACGGAATATTCGGCACGAGTGGATTTAATTTATATCTGGATCGATAATGAGAAATACGATAAGTGAGATATTCGACAGAATCGGTCATACATATACATATATATATACATATATATATATATATTTTTTTTTTTTTAATTATTTATAGATAACCAATCAAAAATAATTTTCATTATTACATTATGTATATGCGTGTGATTATCTCTCTTAATAATCACATTTACAAACATATGTAAGCATGTATATATATATATATATATATATATATATATGTATATGTATATATGCATGTACGACGAAGGTCGGTGAATTAAATCAATGCGCCGAAGATACGAGAGAGAGACAGAGAGAATGTGACCGAGAAAATTATTCCACGTTCGTCGTAACGCTGCTCACGTTTTCATGGCCGGAAGAACAGAGTCCGAGTTAATACTTCCAACATATTTTTCGTCGCTTACAACCAATGAAAGAAACGAGAAAGAAAAGAAGTACGAAAAAGGACCATAAATCAAAACCAATATAACAAGAGTTTAAAAAAAAAAAAAAAAATCTTTCATATGCAAATGCACATGGGAAGAATGTGTATTGAAAATTTTCGGTTAGAACCCAATCACCGAAAAGAATAATAAACGATTTATATCGCTTATTTGACTCACGTGAAATTAGCCGGGAATTATCTCTGGCGGGAATGCCGAAAGATTTGAACTTTGTTACGAAAGAAAAATAAGTAACAATTAAAAACATACGTATTATTTAAATAATGTATATCATTTTGTACATTTATATATATATTCTATTACATTATATTACGCACACATCATATATGTATATACATCGTATATACATATGTGTGTATATATATAAAGAGAATTCATATCGAGTTTCGTGTCACGCACTGAGAACGTACCAGGTAAATATACACGCGCGCCTGCTGAGTACGGTGTTCTTGAGTGAATCACAAGGCCCACAAAGGCGCGCGAAAGTACACCACTTCCCTCCCCTTTAGCCCCACTTCCTACACCCCGTTATTTACGCTACCTATCCAGAAAAACGAAACAGAAAAAAAAAAGAGAGGAAAAATAGAAAAGAAGAGAGAGAAAAACAATGCACGCGTAACGAACTACTATACTTTGAATTGTCAAAAAAAAAAAAAAAAAAAAAAGAAAAGTGATTTTTACGTAAAAGAAATATTTTCTGTTTCATTAAAAGCGTTTGTGTATAATAAGTGAGAAAGGGAGGAAAAAAAAATGAGAATGAAAGAAAGAGAACGGAAGAAAAGTATCACATTACCGATTTTTTTAACAGCGCCATCACGTGATTACTACGCGATATTATATATATACTACGCGTTACCTTTAAACACGAATATACCGCGTGTCTTATTAGAATCGATACATGCAACGAAATGATTATTAATATCGAGTACGAGTTAAAAATTCCCCCAAGTCTTTAATATTTATATAGTATTTCTATTTATATATAGTTTTTCTAAATGATTTTAAAAATGTCTAAATTGTGAGTGGAAAGTAAGTAAAATTCTGATTGATCAGTAATAACATTTTCATTGGAATAAACCAATTAGAATAAAACCAATCAAATTAAAGTCTTACAGGAAATTTTTATAAATTTTAAAGATCTGTAAATTACGGAACGATCTTAAAATTTACGGAACTGTATTTTGAATTAAATGTTTTTTAAATTTTAAGCCTCTCTCTCTTTAAGTCTCTGTCTTATAAATAATTTGAAAAGTAGATACTGATGAACTGTCATTGATTAGGATTTACAATCTTATCGATACGGGCCAATCAGAATGATACTAATTTGCAAAATGTAAAAGGCTTGAAATGTATATATTTTAATAAACATCTAACGAGAGAATAATGACGAATTATCCTGAAAAGTAGTTAAGGATTTTTTATAAAATCTTTAATTATTTAAAAAACATAAGCACGAACGAATCGAATTTAAACTGACATCAAAAATTCAAACGAAACATACGTCCCAAAATCCCTAATAATAATCCTAACAATATCAACAAAGATGTAATTAAATATAAAATTTGTTATCTGTTATTAATTAGATACTTTTTAATTTAATTCATAGAACATATGTATATAATTAATTATATAAAGTCCCTAATCGTTCCAAAATTCCAAATAATACTACAGAAAGAATAATGAAATAAAACGTGTTACACGTGTGTAGACTATATTAGAGATAAAGTAAAACAGACAATAATTAAATAAATAAATAAATGAATGAATATGTAAATAAAGATCATTAAGTTTAAACGATCGAAGTTGGAATCGTTCAGTTTACGCCGGCCGGGCCGGCTCAACTACAATTGCGTTCGATCGGATCTCGCGTACGAGGCGAAATGTACGTGCGAGTGAGGTAGGGGGAAAACGAAGAAGACCGAACGAGCGATGGAAAGAGACAAGGAGGGGGGAAACCAGAGAGGGGAGAAGGAGTAGTAGGAGGAGAAAGAGAAGGAGAAGGGGCCACTTCGTCGATCGTCGCACTTTACGGGACGTATGAATGAAACGAACGATCTTTCGAAAGTCGCGAACGCGGTTGCTCGTGTGTCGCGTAACGAGAAAGAGAGAGAGAGAGAGAGAAGGAAAGGGGGAAAAAGAGAAAAAGAAGGTAGAAGTCAAAAAGAGAGAGATAGAGATAGATAGGTGTTCCAAGAATCCGTCGAGCTGTGTGGCGCGAGCGTCGTTACGCGGCACGGCTCCGAAAAAACGACTTAAAAAAGCACTCTGTACAGTAGAACACGACGGAAGAGTCAAAGACGACGAGAAAAAAAGAAAGATAGAACGAGAGAGAGAGAAAGAGAAAGACAGTGGGAGAGTTAAGAAGAGAAGTAGGTGGAGAAGAAAGGGGAGAACGGTAGGTTCGGTCGAAGTCGTCGAAGCGACGACGCCTTTTCACCGGTTCTCGTCGCACGCGCGATAAGGTGTAAGAAGTAGAGAACATCGAGATTTTCCGAATTCCGCGAGAGTATTTAAAAAAGAAAAAAAAGAGATGAGATAAAATAAAAAAAGATACTCACCGAGTAGTAAAAGCTTAAGTTCTCTCCTGGCATCTCGTTTGTCCCTTCTCAGTTGCCTCTCGATTTCCTGGTTGATACGCTTTTGCTCTTTCGCCTCTTCCGACAGGCAGCACGCCATGGCTCAGGAAAGCGATATCCTCCGTGAAAGGAGGAAGATAGGAGCCTTAGGGAGGATTATGGAAGAGAGAGAGAGAGAGAGAGAGAGAAAGAGAACAAACGGTTTCGGATAAAAATGGGACTGCGGGGGTGCAATGGAATGAAGAGTGAGGAAGGGGTATAACTATTTGTAACGCGACGAAAAGCGCCGGCCAAGCGCCGACCGTCGTCGAGACGACGACGACGACGACGACTACGACGTCGACGTCGACGAAAAAGAATTAAAGAAGGACACGGTCGTCTATCGTCCGGTTGATATTATCTCGACAGGGCGATGTACGAGAAATAAGAAGAGGAAGAGGAGGAGGAAAAGGAAGAGGAGGAGGAGGGACGACGTCTCGTCGCCGTCCTCGTGGTCTCGGCTATCTTTCTCCTTCTCTTCTTTTCAAACAACAACGACGGCGACGGCGACGACGACGACGACGGCGATGACAACGATGATAATAATGACAGGGACGTTGCTTCGACGATGACGACGACGACGACGAGGATAATGATGATAATGATGACACTATTACTATTACCGACACGACCGGCGTGTAAAACTCTCCCAACGATCGTTGTTGTTGTTGTTGTTTTTGTTGTTGCTGTTCTTCTTTTGATATTACTGTTATTGTTATTATTATTACTTGTATTATTATTATTATTTTTATTATTATTAATAATATTATTATTATTACTACTATTTCTAATTTTTCTTGTTTGCACCACGAGCTCCTCAAACAACACAACAATCACCACTTCCAGCACCTTTTCTACCTTTTTATAAAGCTTTTCCTCTTCTTCTTTTCTTTCTTTTTCTTCTTCTTCGTCTTCTTCTTCTTCTTCTTCTTCTTGCACCACCGGCACCAACAACACTCGTCGCACCACGTCCACCACCGCCACCACGACCACCACCACCAGCACGGACACCACGGCGGCACTTCTTCAGCACCGCTTTTGCTTCCTCTTTTTCTTCTTCTTCTTTTATCTCTCTCTTCTTTTTTTTTTACTTCTTCTTCTTTTTAATCCCTCTCCTCGTTCAGCGCGAACACTAACGAGGAGGATACCTCACCCGCTTGACGGTAACCTAAACTATTCTATCTATCACTCAACGTGGAAGAAGAATAAACGAAGAGAATGAAGACAACACCACAACAGCAACGTCGACGACGACGACGAAGACGACGACGATCGTTGCTCCTCCCGACGACGACGACGACGACGACGACGACGACGGCAGCGACGCATCAACGCATTCACGCACTCACAACTCCCTTCTTCTACTTCTTCTTCTTCTTCTTTCTATCGTCACCACCTTTTCTTAATACACTCCTCCTTCTTCTTCTTCTACTACTTCTTAGTTCTTTTCTGATCTTCTCTCCTCAAAGAAAGAGAAAAAGAAAAACAGAAGGAAAATAAAGTACCCGAGAGATTTGCGAGTAGTGCGGAGCGCACGCTCGCTCGCACGCACGCACGCACGGGGCACGCACGCACGCATGCACGCACACGAGGAACAGAGAGAGATAGAGAAACCAACTTGAGCGTCCTCGGGGCCACGACGATTCCACACGACGATTTTTCCACGACCACGACAGACCGACCGACCGACCGACCGACCGACGTTGATTATTAACACACCAAACTCACGAGTACAGTAGTAACCTCCTTGCTCTAGTTCCTTATATCTTTATAGTATGTTTCTTTTTCTACTAAAACACGGTAAAATAACGACGACAATAACGATGACGACGACAGTAGTAACGACAGTAGCAACGACAGACAACGACGACGACGAGGACAACGTCGACGAGAGATATCACCGGCTCTCTCGTTTGACGCTCTGTCTCACTCACTCTCCCTCTCTCTTTCTCTCTCTCTTCCTTTCTCTCTCTCTCTTTCTGTCTACGCTCCTTCGCTCAAGAGCGTACCAATAGCGCGAGGGATTTTCTACAGCTCGCTCGGTTGGGTGTGGTAACTCACCGGGCTGTCTCTCTCTCTCACTCACTCTCTCTCTCTCGTTTCCCCTTCTTCTTTACCTTCCACTCTATCCTTCTACCTCTATCTCTTTCTCTTTCTCTCTTACTAATTCCCTCGCTCACTCTTGGTAAACTTGGGAGAGAAACTAGAGCCAACACCGTACGAACACGAAGATCTCACCACGATGTCGTTGTCGACGACCACAACGACGACGACGACGGCGACGACAACGACAACGACAATGACAACGACGACGAAGACGACGAAGAGGACGACGTCAACGTCGACGAGAGGAACCGACGATAGAGGATTATTACGAGAATGGTGTCTTTAACACACGCGCGCACACACACGCTACAGAGGAGAACAGACTGGGCTCCAAGAGGAACTACTCTCCTGCCACCTCTCGTTCTCTATCTCTATCTCTATCTTTATCTATTTATCTATCTATCTATCTATATTTCTATCTTTCTCTTTCTCTCTCACTCTATCTCTCTTGGTGTCGCTCGAAGCAAAAGGCGACACGACCGAGGGTGGAAGAAGGAAGAAGGTAACCGGCCACACACGGAGGTTCGAGCGCGGTGAGCGAACTCGAACGATTCGCGGCGCGCCCGTTCGGTACACGGACTTTTATCGACCCTCCTACTAACTCCTCTCTCTTTCTCTACGTGGAATCCTGTTAAACCAAACCAGATTGACGAAGCCCGACAACGACGACGACTACGAACGTATTTACGTACGTACATACGTACGAACATACTACGTTCGAACGAACGAACGAACGTACAAACATAAGAACATACGAACGAACGGATGAACAAACAAACGGACGGACGGACGGACGGACGAACGAACGGAACGACGAACGAACGAACCAAGTGTCGCGAACGCGCGCGCGAGTTAGGCCATCGCTCTCTCTCTCTCTCTTTCTCTCTCTTTTTCCCTTTCTTTCTTTTTTCCTTTCTTTTTCACATTATTTATCGTCTTACTCTACTTGTCGTAGAAACGGAAAAGAGAGGGTGGGAGGAGGAGAAGATAAAGGAAGAGAGAGAGAGAGAGAGAAAGAGAGAGAAGGAGAAATAGAGAGAGAAAGGGAAACCTCGGACATATACCACTGTGATAGAACACGTGTTTCCACACATTATACCCACTGTCTTTAACGAGATTAAAATCCGACGTTAAGGGCAGCAGCGATCTCTACCCGACCGCCACCCGTCGGGGGAGGAGGCACGGAGAACGTAACGACGACAACGCACCGGCCGAGACACACTACGGATATAGGTTATATTCTATCCCTCTCTTTCTCTCTCTTTCTAACCATGCTCATTCGCTTCATGATACTCTCTCTCTCTTTCCTCCCACTATTCCTCTTTAGTCTACCTTCTCTCTCTCTCTCTCTCTTTCTCCCCCTGCCCCTATACGATCAACCGATCCCCATAAAGCGATACACCTGCCCTCTGTGAGTATCTCTACGCATCACTACTTTCTTACGCTTATTCTTCCATATGATATTCTTGTTTAGATACTTTTTTTTATTTATCCTGTAAAAACATACCTTTTTAATTTTTAACCCTTTCCTTCCTTTTTTATTTATTCTTAAAGCGCGATGTCTTCTACTTCTATTGTCAAATGTCGTTGATCATCGTCTTCAAAATATTGTTTTCGTGTGAATTTCGATACCTTCGCACGCATCGTTCTCATCATTATAGAGGGAGTGTCGTGACCTAATCGAGAAAACGGCGCGCGTCTTCTCCCAGGCACCGTATTCTTTCTCTCTTTATTCCTATTGGTTACGCCGTCTTGTATGCGCACGCCGCCATATTGCTTCAAACTTTTCAAATTTATGGCGCCAACGTACTACCCGATATCGGATTTTTAATCTTACTACTCGTTCGTTTATTTAATTTCTTTTTATCTCTGGCTTCTTTCCGATAAAAGAAAATATATTGCGGTTATGCTTGTATTTTTTTACATCATAATTTTATCTATATTTTCCTTATATATAAGCAAGTATTTACGTTGAATGAAATCTTTATTTATGCGAATATTAACGCATTACATAGGTACAAATTTGTATAATCTTTTATACAAATTGGTTTTATTTTCTGTCTTAAAACGAACTATTAGTTTTTTTTCTCTATGAATTATAACGGAGTTTTTAGTTTATCAAATGATCCGGGCACAGACAAACCTTGACACGTTCTTGCATGTAAGAAGATTAAACTGACTTTGAGATGATAATAAGGCTTCCCAAACCGTTTACAATTTGTATACGACGTTTTTCACCGACGATTTATTATGTTTGAGGAAGCATTGGAATGAAATTTTATCGTGCGATTATTATTAACATTATTATTATTATTTCTTATCAACGCGATTTGTTGTTTGACACAATTGACACGTTTCTACGTTTTCCGGTATTTCCGCGGCAATCATGTTGTGTTCTTTTACTGCATGAAATATAAATTACGATTATGTTATCAATCAAATATGATTTTTTCTTTTTCTTTTAGTTACCTAAATCCTCGACAGACAAATTATCTTTTAGTCGTTTGAATATCTCGGGAATTTCTTTGAAATAATCCAAATCGTTAAAAAATTCTACGATCCTTCCGAAACCTTCGTGCAGTGTTACCAGTCGTCTGCAATTAAAAAAAACAGCGCCTAACATAAACTTGAGAACATTCAGGGATTCGATTTAGGGAGTTTTAATCTCAAAAATAAAAGAACTGAAGTTATTTTTTTTAACGTACGCGTTAACTACTTTCGGCAATCTTACATCCAAAATTTGTCTACTCTCTTGATAATCCTCCAAAATAGAATTATATTGACAACGTAATTTTTCTAATTGCAATTCCGACAATTTCGATGTATTAAGAAAATGTTGAAAATTTTTGGCAGCTATGGAAAAATTTTCTTTCCTCGATTTATGTTCCTCTATTAAAATACGCAATTGTTTAGACATTGTCATACTCTTAGAACAATGTTCGCTTAAATCTCGTAAGAATGATACTCGATATTCCTTTTTATTCTCCATCTAATCAGCGTAATCAACAAAACATCAATTTTATACATAAGTTAGCCATTTGCGAACTTGTCTACCTGTTGAAGCTGTTCGGCCAAAGACTTGAAATTTGTTGTTGAGCTACCAACCAAAGTAATACGAGTACTAATTAACAATTGTCCAACATCCATCACCCTTTGAGCAGCTTGATTGGTTACTTGTAAGGATTGTATATAATGAATTAATGCCTCAAGTGCATTACTGATCAAATCCAACTGTTGCATTAAAACTGCTTGCCTGTCATCAGCTAAGGCTTCCTCAACCTGACTTCCAATCAACCTTAATTCCATGTTCTCCCTTGTTCGTTGCGAACGCAATCTGTTCGATCTCTGTTTAAGAAACATATACAGTATACATATGTACGTACAAAGTTTTATTCTTAAATCTTTCTATCTGATTCTCATTTGGTGCCATTTTCAAAACAATACGTGCATTCAAATTACTGCCTTGATATTGTCGTTGATTAAATACTTGGAAGACTTTTTCTTATTACAATGTTCATAACATAAACAGCAGTCCACCGAGTGATGTTCTTCTCCAGAAGCTCCATGTTGTTGTACAAAATCTATTTCATTTTCTTCCGAAGTCACTGGCAAATATGAAAAATGGCGCCTGCATAACGAAGGCTCGCTCCAACGTTTGTATTGATTCTTTCGAAACATTTTACAACTTTTTTTCTGTCTTATTAGACAAAATTAAATAGTCGAGATTCCTTTTAATCTTTTTCCTAAAATATAATTTACTTCGATAACCACTCTGATACGATTGTAGATTTAAATTTTCTGACAAACTTTTTTCATACACTTACTAATTTCTTCAGCGATCATTTTGTTACATAAATTTAAATGTTTTTATGATATATCGACAAGACTGATGTAATGGAGTACATTTATTATAGTTTTTCAAGGTTAACTTGATGTAATCGATTCTAATAAGATGATATAGTATTACAATGCATAAAAAATGATCTACGTTTAGGGGATTCACCTGATATCGTTCGAGACGTGCGACTACAGCGACACATGCGGTAGGAAATGAACTGAAATCGCACCAATTTGAATTCACGGCGCGAAACCTTGCAAATATTTAAAAAATAAAACGTTTTTGTACGTGATATTTTATAGTTTATGTTATATTGATATTTTAAGAAAGAAACTTTGTTTATATTTATAATAATTATTAAAAAAAATGTGTATCTTTCATAAATAATTTTCAAAGGAATGAAACAATCATGGCGAATCGGCGAATATCTTATTTGAAATAAAATCTATGAAGAGAAAAAGAGCGTAAACATTAATTTCGAATATCAATATTATATTGCATGTGTATATTTAATTTATTATAATCTAAAAATGTTGATAATACACTACTACACTATTCAATAATATTCTTCTATTTAAGCTCAAGTATAGAATGCTTTGGTTATCATTGTTTTTTTTTTTTAAAACGTATATTATATTGCCATTTTCTAATCATGTATGTATAATAAAATTGTAATTCGATTATTTCCGAAATACGCATGAGAAGATTTTAAAGCGTTGTCGGAAATATTACATGGAAAAAGAGGGACAAAATTGAACCTCTTGAATCGATTTTCTTTCTTTCTTTCTTTTGTTTGTTTTTTCTATTTTTCCTTTAAATGCAAATCGTTAGATCGGATAAAAATTGTACGCAGTATAAAGGGCATATATTATTATTATTATTATTATTATTATTAATATTATTATTATTATTGTTATTATTATTATAAGAAAATTTCGACGAGTTTCCGATTATTCGTACCATTTTATAAAGATTAATTTTGTACCGTGTGGCAGTAACACGTCGATTTTCAAAACTAAACGCACACTCACTCACCCGGTCAACGCTGTCATAAAAATAATGTTCTTAGCATTTTTTATACTTATTTCTTCTTTTCCTTTTAACTCAACAAAAAAATATATATTCATATATATTATTTCTTTATCGTTGAATACATCCGACAAAAAAAGACGATAGCGGGTAAATACATGGTACTCGACGATAAACTTAGAAAATCAAGGCACAACTTTTTACACTCCACTTTTAATTATATTCCGACTTTCGGATGAATTCAAAATATTTTCTAAACGATGACACATGTATTAAATTAATTGAATTTTATTACGAAGTCTAAATTTAAGTTCTCTTGAATAATATGATATAATTTATGCTTGTGTATAAATATATATGTGTGTATGTCCGACAAATTTGTTGGAATGTAATTCAATCGAAATACAGTCAGGATTTAAATAAAAATGGAGTATAAATATTTATACCTGTAACAAATAATTATCAAATTGTTTTGTTTTGTTTTTTTTTTCTTATTGCGCTCTTCTTCACAGTCTTAATCAACCAGCTCTTTTGGCATAGAAGAATCAAAGTTCACAGTTTTTTTTTTCCTTTTTTGTTTTCTATGAGTTTCTTTTGGTCCACGTTTCAATACGCTTACAATAATTTGGCTTATGCAAAAGATTATTGCACACTTAACTTACGCATATAATATTTCTATATATATATATGTATCATAATGCTATATACCGATTAGAGACGAATCTGTGAGAACAAAAACCTGTGAAGAAACTTTTTATTATTTTAATATTATTATTATTATTATTATTATTATTATTATTATTATTATTATTATTATTATTATATTATATTAATATTATTATTATTTTTATTAATATTATTATTATTATTATTACTTTGCCCAATAATACTCTTAAATCATCTTAAGATTTACTATTAGTAATGACAATGGATCAATCAATCGTTTAACAACAAATTCATCTTCCGTTTTTTTTTTTTTTTTTATAAAAGAAACAATCCAACTTTCTTATTGATATTTTACAAATAATCATTCTGAATAATATAATATAATAGAAAATAAAAACACACACTCTCACAAGTGGAAGCCGAATACCAATAATCATTTTCTTATAAATAATACTATCTCTCGCATTATTACGTATATCATTATAGCACTGTTTCTTTTTGTTTATATTAAACAAATATGTATGTGTGTAAATGTATATATGCGATACATGATTGTTCTACAGATCTATGTAACGAGTATTAATCAAAATTATAAAATTGCTGATACTGAACCATTGGTATCCATCATCCTACTTTGACTATACAAATTAATACAGGATCAGTACTAACAGTTTCTTTTGATTACTGTTAATAAATTTCCTAAGCACACTTGTATCATGTACATAAAATACTCATCAAAGAATATACAAATGTGATCATTAGTTATTTATCGTAAGAAAAATTCAAAAAGGAATAATAATAATAATAAATGAAATTTAAAAAAAAAAAAAAAAAATCTATCATCGAGAGAAATACTATTATTGTATCTCTGTTCAATGAAAATAAAAAGAATGGAAACGAAAATAAATTTAAAATATCGTTGTAAAAATCATGACACAACATATCCTATCAATTTATATACATCGTTCTACTCGATCTCGTAAGATACTTTCTTTCATCTATACTCTCTCGTCGTGTAAGAATATTATTTTTCGTAAAATTTGTTTAACGATTAAAAGTGCAAAAATCTGATCTAAATGTTATTTCATTTTCTTACTCTTGATATCTGAAACTACCTCTAGATAGTTTTTTGTCGAGATGATTTTTGTTGTTGTTTTTGAAGAATATAAAGTAGAGATGATTAGACCTTGGAAAAATTTGGTTAAAAAGACTCTTCGTAAAAAAGAGTACTCGAGTAAAATTATCCTATCGATAAATTTTTTTGACAATAAATCTTTTAATGATTATATTTCTCCCTTTCTCTCCTTTCCCCCCCTTTCAGTGGCCACGAAAAAGTAATATCTCATAAAAGTTATTTATCCCTAAAAGTAATATATGTAGATCTATGTACACTTCCATAAAATAAAATTAATCTAATATACAAAGTGTCCTGTAATTAATGGTAAATGTGAACAGGGGATGATTTTACATGCAAAAATTAAATCGAAAATGTACAGTCAAATTTTGCGACAAATTTTCAAAGCTTATTCTTTTCCTAAAGATAAAAACTTATAAGAACACATTTAATTCTACATTTTTGATTTTTTTTTTTTTTTACATATAATCATCACTCCCTGGTCTTTTATACCGCAGGTTACAGGACATCCTGTATATATTAAATATATATATTTATATATTGTATTGCAAATTGTATTACAATATATTATTTAAATATTTTTTTTTCATTTGATTGTTAGTGATGCGTATATTCATTCGTACATTCGATATGAGAGGATTAATCTCATATTAGATTAATATTATTATTATTATTATTATTATAGTGAATGTTCGTTGGCACAGACAGTGGCTGGTTTTAAAGGCACTTTGGGCTGATTATTATCCACAGTACCATCCAGCAAAACTATCTTATTATATATCAATTCCCTTATATTGTTGTTTTATTTTTATATTTTTTTTTTTCAAGATTCTGCTTCTTAATTTTACGACTCGAATGTAACACTACCTTCTTTTGATGAACTCAGTGTGGATCTTATTTTTTTGTTTTTTTCCTTTATAAGTATTACATCCGATCAATTTTACCTTTTATACGTTTATTTATTTATCAAGACCCCATTTTTCTGAGCATTCCGATAGTAAAAGATAAACGTAAAAAAACAAAACCTTTTCACAGCGGCTTCGTGAAGTTTGCTGGAAACATTCCCTTTTCATTTGTACCCTCTTTGATACCCATCAACCAGCCCTCTTCCTAAAGTGACAACAAATTTCATGTTTTCTTTCTATCGTTAATGATTATTATAATTATTATTAATAAAAAAAAAAAATAAGAAATACGAACCTGTTCTTCAGGATCATTGTATTCTACGACGCGTATTATTTCACCAACGTCGAACGACAATTCATCCACATCTTCCCGACTGTACTTATAAGTAGCCTTGACCCTATACAAAACACCAGGTGGCAAATTGTCCGTTGTCGCCCCTGCAGAGAAATTGGTACCATTTTCATATTCCACGTCTAAAATTATCGAATCCGCACCATTAGTGATGGACCTATCATAATCTAATAGCAAATTTAACTTGCCAAAATTATAAATTATATATATATATATATATCTCTCTCATTTGATTTTGTATTTTTATTTGAAACGTTAGAACCAACAAGTCAAATTCGCTAGGATACATCATTTTAAAATTCAGTATGACCATGCACAAATGGGCAGACGATTTAACGGTCCATTTCAAAAGATAACTTTAACATAAATAAATTTATATAATTAATATTTAATAACATTAGTTTTGCTGCGATTAAGATAAAACGTTGTTATTAGTTGTATCATTTCAATATTAGAATTTAACATTAAAATGGCTGAAATTTGTTTAGTATTTTTCCAGTATTTTGTTTCCACACACAGCAATTTTGTTGAACAAAAATAATATACTTACCGACAGGTATATCATAAAGTTCTTCAACACGTTTGGTAGGTGCGACTGTACTTTGCGGAGAAGCATCCTGATTATTGAGAGAATTATCATTGCTATTAGCATTGCTGTTAGCATTGCCATTTAATTGGGTCGTTGGCGAGGTGTCTCTAGCTGGTGGTACCGAATCCTCCACAGCTGCAACACGCAATAAAGCACACTCATACCACACACGTTGAAACCCATGACTTTTAAAAGGCTTTTTTTTTTGTTTTTTTTTAAATCAACCCTCTTTTAATTTTTTTAAAACTATCTATCTCTAATTAATAAATATTTATTTGTTCTCCATATTTTTCCTTTTTTTTTTTTTAATGATAAAGGATATCATCAATCGAAGGAACGTCTTAATGCATGCAATATATTAGTATACACATTGTCTGTCAACGTACATAAATCAAGCATTTATATTTCTATATCAATAAATTTTCTTTTTTTACCTGCCGAGATGTTGTTTTGCGACGGTTGCGTGTTTATTATCAAGCTGTAAAAAATACAAATCCTGTTTAATATCTATATGTTAATATTTTAATTGTAAGACCTATTGTAATTATTTATCAAAATAAATTTCTTCTTCATTATACTTACGCTGAATTGGCATTTGGTGATTTTGGTGATTGGGGTTCGGTGTTTTTCTTCAACGTATAAGATCCTCTCTGACTTTCATTGGCAAGTTTATCAACTATTGCCTCTAATTCGGAATATACCTAAGATATATCAAAATATTGATTAAATAGTCTAAACGCTGGAATACATTGTTTTTTTTATTAATCCCAAAAAGTAGGATTAAAGTGCGAACCTTGGCACTCTCGGCATGAAAAACTTGCTCGGCAGCGAATAACGTTTGTAAATTGGTCACAAGGAACAAAACACGAGAATCGTACAATGCTGGTAATTCATCATGCAATTCTGAATTTAATTGTTCGTATGTACGTTTAGCTTCTTCCAAAAGTTCCTTGCCTCGAGATACTTTAAGTTCATCTCTCTTTTTTGGATTACACTGGAGCGATTGGAAATTGTGTCTTTGACTATCGTAATCCACTAATTTTCTTCCACGTTTATCAATTTTTTTCTATAGAATTAACAAACATTCATTAATTACAAATTATCAATTATTTCAATTTTATGTTAAAATGTTACATCATTTTATTTCTATTAATTCAATATTTTTACTTACTCTCATCTCGGGGAATTGGCTTTGATATGTGTTGAGAGGTACAAGTACTTGGTCCGCAAGTTTATGAGTGAAATCTTGCCATAGCATATCCAAGTTTTGTGCTTGCACGTAAAGAAGATCATGACCAGTCCATTGACTCTCATAGATTTCATTTAGTGAATCCATCAACGTCTTCGATGCTACTTGTACGGCTGAAAGTACAAGAATGAAAGAAAATAAAATCAATGAGAATTATCTCAATCGGATCTATCAATCTATCCCTCATCAATTTATCTTATCTATCTTGATCGAGACTTCATTGAAGACTCAAAGAACAGAAGTTCTCAACCTTCCCATTTACTACATCATTGATAAACTAAATTTGAATTATTTTTTTGTTTTGTTTTAGATGTACAACTGGTCACCCTTACAAAATTTGGGGATACCTTGTTTATACATTATGTTATACATGTTACATATTTCATGCAATTTTCATGTCGTGCATTTTAACTTGAGAATCCCTGTCCTAGAGATCTTGATAAATTTACGCTAGACTTTATAAGCTAGGAAAGAAGAAACCTTCGAGATAGACGACATCTTTTTCTAACAATAAGTAGTAACATTCAAAGTATATATATATAGCCTTGATGGGAGAGAGGGTAGGGGCTGAGTCTTAGCATTTCCGTAATCTTACTTTCTTGACATACTTTTCTACTGTCTTTCATCTTTAAGTGCATTCACCTGTCGAGATATACCTAATCGTTTCAACTTCTTCCAACTTTGTAGAAGAAGAAGAAGAAGAAGAAGAAGAAGAGGAAGAAGATTAATAGGCGTTAAGAAATTCTAAACGATAACGAAAGTGTTTACTAGTCTATCGAATTTCTTTTTTATGTATAATTAACAATTTACATTGAGATTAGAAATCGAATAGAAAGAAAGAGAGAGGATAGGGAAACATTTAATTTATAGAAAGAGATGGGTGAAGAATTACATGATAGAATTGCATAATTTATAAAAAGATGGGATAGAGAACCACGTGTTTGGTTTAATGTATAATCTATGCTTGGTTAAATATACTGAACACGTTTAATGTAACAAAAAAAGAGGCGTGTAACTTATTAATATTGTTCGTTGAACTGTTGGAAGATTACAGGTTACGTAAGAAGTAGCATGATCATCATCATCATCATCATCTCTAGGCGTTGATAAAACACTCGTTTAAATTGACGACGTTTAAAAGGAAAAAACGTTTTATTGGTTTTTTTGAGACTTGTTCTTTTTTCGTTCAATTTTCATAAGAACAAATGATATGGACTTTTGAAAGAGTTGATCATGTGATAATGTACTTATGATTTAAGTATTTATGTACGTCTGCACTCTTGAGTAACCTTGAATTCACGGTCAAGTTCTTACGATCTTCCGGTTCACGTGGTTGCTTTTTAACACGTTGCACCACCATGTGCTGTTAAGCTGTACTGCACTTTATAGTGTGGTGTGATGTGGTGTGCTGTGTTGTGTTGGGCAAACGATCAAACGAGGATAAGAGTTGAGATGTGCGTTTTAATTCGTAGGTAGTTTCCAGTATAAATTGTTAATACGGATCATAGAAGCAGAGTTCCGGTGTGCCATCATCATATAGGGGAATACAAGAAAATTTACTCTTCTTTAGACTAACTTAATACCAAAAAGAAAAGATAATTATATATATAGATTAAAGATTAAATTGTTTTAATGACAAAGAAAATCATAGTTCTAAACATTTTCTTATAATGTTTATTAACCATAATGTCTTCAAATTTGTCTTATCTTGGTTTCTTTATTATTTTCAATATGGCGAATATCAACTCTACATTTATAAAAAAAAAAACAAATTGGAAAAGAAATATATGTTACGTGAAAAGTTATTTTTTATAATTTAAGAAATTCAATTAAATTATATTCCAATTACGAATAAAATAAAATACAACCAAAATGTCTTCAAATTTGTCTCATCTTGGTTATCTTTATTATTTTCAATATGGCGGACATCAACTCCGTATTTATAAAAAAAAACAAAATTAAGATTATTAAGAAATTTAATTAAATTATTTCGACTATGAATAAAATAAAATAGAAAAAAATATCTTTTGGTAATAAATTCCAATTCAAATATGGCACAGTTCGAATCATACAAGTTTTTAAACAGAATCCAAAGTAGCGAGGCATTCGAGAAAAGAAGAATCAAGTTTTCTGCCTATCCCCTCTCTTCATCCTCCTCCTCCTCATCATCCTCTCTCTCATTCTCTTTCTTTTTTCTATATCTATCTCTGTCTCATCTTTTACGGTATGACCGACTTACCTCGAACACACCTGATGTAATTGTTGAACTCCTTTTGTAGCCTGTTGGCAGAGTTTTGCTGCCTCGTAAAGTTTTGTAGGTGCTCGTCAAATATGTCGTCCGCTGTTCTGTCGACCTTCCCGAGATTCTGAAGAAACTGAAAAATAAAATACAGACCAAAATTATACAAACATATCTTTTCAGTTATACCAATACCAATCACATAAAACATATTCTGTCCTCCCTTTCTCTAACCCTTCAAAAATGAATCATAGTTTTATTGGGTTGTTCGAACAGTTCGTGCTGATTTTGATGGGAGATTGAAATGTTGTGGAATTTAAGTTTTTTTTTTTTGGTATATATCTATTAAATTATATCTAAGTGCCATTCTGTTTAACAATCTTTCTCCATCTTTAAGGGTAACTTCAAAATTTCCTCCTTTCAGAACTTTTCAGGTTTTTTTTTAGCAAAAGAACTTTAATGCCATCTACCGGAAATCGGCACGAACTTTCCATACAATCTAATATAATAAATAATAAACAAAAACTAATGATAAATAAGACCCGTTTGTCTCTTTAAGTAAACAAGTCAGCCTGTTTTTTTTTTTTAAATTATAAATTTTTAAATTGAACAACGAACGATTGAGAAAAAAAAATAAAAGTTTTAGGAAGAATCAAAGAACTTTTGCGTGGGATTTGAACAAACGTGGGCGAAGGAAGGGATCGGATACGTACACGTTTCCATATACGAACAGCGTATAAGAAAACGAACGGATCTTTTGAAAAGATACATATACATATAAAAATACAAGAATAAGATATTTAGCGATTGTTTCGTATCAAATAATATTAGACTAATTTTAAAATCGGTTAAGTAAATTATATGATTGAAAAATTAGTTAAATAAATTTAGGATTCACCTAGAAACCTAGTGGTACCATCATCCTGTGTAAATATTTAACATAAGAGAAAGTATACAAAGTATACGTCGGAGGTCTGTGAACTCATTTGATTCGTCATTGGTTGATAAGTACACGAATGATAATTCCATGTGAGAAAATACCATCTATAAATAAAATCATCAAGCACGCTTAATGATTAGTCACATATGGTCACGAGTTGTTTTATCGGTGACAATTTTTCTGATAAATGATAACAATAAAACTTCATGCAATAATATATTGAGTTGGCAAGAAAGTAATTTCGGTAGTAAGTAAATATATATATAAATATATAATATTATTGAGTTGGTAAGAAAGTAATATTTTACACTAGAAAATTCGAAATTACTTTCTTACCAACCCAATAATTTTAATTATTATTTGAAAGAAATAATAACAAATATTTGTCTATTTATTTTCTCTTTTTTTTTTATGTCTAATAATTCCAAGTGAATGCAGTTTCGTTACATTCATTGTTGTCTCTTAATTCTTTTCTTTCTTTTTTTTTTTTTTTTCTAAGTATTATCATTATTTTTCCAAGCAATAAGGCATGACGTTGCGAAAGGGTACAGTGTTATTATGTAATGATAGATGCATCTCAACCGAAGAGAAATTTCACACTTCTGATTCATTCTTTAGTAGGAATTAATAAGATTCAATTTATTAACATTGCAATGTATTTAAATAGGACATGAAAAGCTAATTTTTTAATTTTTATTCTTACCCTTTTCATTTTTTCGAAATCTTGTAAGCTTTGGAAGAACATAATTAATTTCAAAATTTTTCATTTAGACATTTTTAACACACCTCGTATAATTTAATTCAAAAATTAACATTCCTAAGTAGTAAATAATACAATGATTTTAACAAGTAATAATTCCAATTTACGATTATTTTTAATGAGTCATTGATCTGTTTTACGTGAAAGAAAATTTGAGTAGAGTTTTTTTTTTGTTTTTTATCGACTGATATGAATGACAAATATACCCACCGAACGATGAGTCATTTAACGAGATACGCCTTAACGCTTAGCATTAATTAATATTATTATTATTATTTTTTCTTTTTCATTTGAAGAATATTAAACATCGAATGTAACAGTTAAAAATATTCTTAACAAAATCAACAAAATTATATTACATCTTCTTATCTCGAATCAAGTTAAACAAACAAATATATTATTCCTTTGATTCTCTTTCTTACCCCCCCGAACGACGCCATCTTTCTTTTACAAACTGGACACTAGCCAACATTCCTTCTAAGTCCGTCCATAACCTAAGTGCTAGTATCGCGATTCTCTTCAAACTATTTGCACCTTTTTTCGGTCCTCTTTCTGTACTGTTTTCCCTGCCAAAAAAAAAAAAAATATACGTTGCACGAATGCTATTAGAACACTTGTGCAAGGGTTAAAAGTTCCTAAGATCTTTTTAAAAATCAATTACTCTTGTCCGTGACCTTTAAAGCTAGCAGTTTTATGACCTCGAAAAAGAAAGTAGCCTAAAAAATTCTTAAAAAAAGATACAAATTTATAAATCATTTGAAAACATTTGATTCATTCTTTCTAAAATAAGATAAAAACCAATTGGAAAGTTAAAGGAGTTTATATAAATAAAATTTGGACAAAAATAATTCGATAAAATGCTTGTACACCATTGATAACAATCTAGTTATCAAAAATTCAACAAACGATCTAACGAACGCTATATTTCTTTACAGAAATTACGCAATAATCTACTTTTGCAGACTCTATTTGCGGAATGATCAGTTTTTCGTTTGAAGGTAAAAGATACGAGAGATCTTTTTCGATTAATAAAACGCGTCTGGTATCCAGCTTCTTTCGGATTATCATAATAAACTTGTTGTGAAAGGTTATGTCGACTTATTGTGGAGAATTCTGATCACGTGACACTGATTGATACTTCCTATTGTGTATAACAGACGTATAACAGGCGTGTTCAATGATATAAATTTTTAATTGTATGTATAGGGTGTCTCGTGTAAAACTAAACAATTTCAATTTATAGAAATAAACTGTATAAAATATTAAATAATTCTTGGTAACGAAAGTTAGAAGTGTTTTCTTTCATAGAATCAAATATTCTTATCACGTTTGTAAGATGTCGTTCGTGTTATAGCTCTTGAGAACGGTTTGCTGTCAACGTTCATGAAACGAGATCACAGTCATTTTATATTAAACGTTCAATTGATTCTTTCAACTATTTCTATAAAGCTATCAAGAGTTTAAATAAGACTTTTCCGTTTAGAGAGAGAGAGAGGAATAACAACCATTTTGTAATATGGCTGCCGGTTATGTGATTACGATTGTAAATTTTTCTTTTTTTTTTCTTTTAAAATTATATTAACGATGTTATAATTAATTTAATAAATGAATATCACACATAATTATTTTGTTCGATTGCATTTACAAATATGGTAGTCATCTTGTATATCTTACAATTTTATCTACCTACAAATAAATTTGAAAAAAATAAATATATATATATTGAATTGTTAAAAAACGTTACAAGAAGAATGTATCGGTGTGTTTCAAAATATTTCCTTAACGACAATAGTTTTTATCATCGAATGAGTCACAAAACAGTAAACATGTTATCCTACGTTGCTTCAACGTATACAGATTAGGTTATGTTTTATGTCGTTTTTCGGATTACCGACTTGTTTCTACAAAGAGAAAAATGAAGAATGATTATTATTATTCAAAATGGAATCTTCGTTCGTGTCTCTTTAAATCGTATATGCATTTTCGGACATATGCTTATTAATTACAGTTGTTTGAAATCTTTTAGACTATCAGTTGACCGTGTAATTTTTTAATGTCGAAGAACAAAATTATTTTTAAGTCAATTAAAAATTTATGAGAGTCATTTTGTACAACATAAATTTTGATATTTATATCAACTGCAGGGCTTACAGTTTATTAATGAAAAATAAAATTAATTAATTAAATTTGAAACACATGGTAATATTTGTCCACCCTGTATGTATAATGCTTACAAGATTATTGATAAATTACTCGATCAATTAGGATACCGGTGCACCGAATAACGTTATTTCACCTATTCAAGAAGAGATACAATTTTTGTCACGGTTTCCAGTTCGAGTAATACCGTTAGACGATTAGCATAAGTTACACCTGATACGACAACAGTATTCTGTAACGAAGAGCGAACTCGTTTCACGACTTGAGCTTGACCTCTATACACGTAATCGATGTTCTCTTTTCACTGTCAAAGATACACGACCTAAATTTAACAAAAAGATCCGAAAAACCAAATTAAACCAAATTATTCAAAAATCAATCACATTTTTTTTTATAAATTGCTCTATTTTTCTCGTACAAGCATGTGTGCATGTATTAAACGTAAATCAAATTGTGTAGAAAAAAAGATGCGGATATTTACAAAAAAAAAAAAAAAAAATTGCATTGTAACTTTAAAGAAAAATTCAACGTGAAATAAAATAGTAAACGTCGGCAACTATTAAGAAACGATGATAAAAAAAAAAAAATATTTATGAGTTATCGTAAAAGATACACGTTGGAAAGTACAAATGTATATATGTAATACGTACAAAAATACAGGCATACATAGAACACGAGCGTGTACTAACTCACGTATGTACCAAGCTTTCCTTTATTTTATGAAATATCGTGTTACATAAAATGTTGAGTTAAAAATCGCGCGTAATATTTTACGTCGAAAGAAAAATTCGTATAGAAACTTTAACATCGTAGACAAGGAACAAAAGATATAACCAATAATAGGAAGAACAAGAAACTAAAAAGAAAGGAAGAGAAAGAACAAGGAAAATGTGTTAGAAAGTGATGACTTTGGTTGACGATGAATGATGATCGAATAAAAACAACGTTCCATCAATTTTTATTTACCGTAATTCCGATGATTTCCGTCAAAAATAACAAAATGAAAATAAATTTGATAAATATTTCACTATGAATAAGCATGTATTTAAAGTATGCATCAGTAAGTATTCGGTTGAGTAAGTTTCGGTTGAACGCCTAAGAAATAAACTAGTAAAAGTGTACAATACAGTAATGTTCTGTATATATGTGTGTTTTACTACGGATTTTACGGTTAAGAAATTCACTTTCCGAGGGAAACAATTGCATCTCGATTTTATTAATAGCTTACGGAATGGACGATGATGCTGCATACGTGCAGTTACATTGGCTATTATTA